TGAGAGTACCACTCCAAACCTTTGAGTCTCTTCTGTTATTATTATTTTTTTTTATCAACCAGATATCTAAGTATCTATTGTTTAAAGTATCTTTATCTACCCTATTCTGATTTTTTGGTGTTTTGTTTTTAAGTCAACTGAAAATTACTGTTGACTTTATTCCTGTTGAGTAAATTTCTTTCCCCAGCTCCACTTTCCTCTTTATTCCTTTAGAGAAAGAAGATGCAGAATATGAGTTATAGTACATTCTTTCAAGGTGTGTGTGTGTGTGTGTGTGTGTGTACATATATATATATTCCTACACATCCATATGCGCACACACACTTCATTAAAAAAAAAGAGAATATTGTGTATTATTACATTGTTCCCTGATTAAGGTAAGCAGGCACAAATGAAGAACCTCTTTGCTACAAATTTATTTTTTTAACAAAGGATAGTTGAGTACCTTTATCATAGCAGGCACAAGGCTGGGCTCTGAGCTGGAGACATGAATGTTATAGTTTCTGAATTTAATGGCTTCAAATTCTATTTAAACAAATGGACAACCAACCATTGTGTTAAAGAGCAGAATTGGCCTGACCAGCGTGGCTCAGTGGTTGAGCTTCGACCTATGAACCAGTTCGATTCCCACTCAGGGCACATGCCTGGGTTGTGGGCTCAATCCCTGGTGGGGGGCATGCAGGAGGGAGATGACCAGTTATTCTCTCATCATTGATGTTTCTATCTCTCCCTCTCCCTTCCTCTCTGAAATCAATAAAATATATGTGTGGGGGTTTTTTTGTTTGTTTTTTAAAGAGCAGAAGTGTATGTATGAGGGGAAGTGGGAGTACAAAAAGGGTAAAATAGAACTAAATTGTAAGTTGTATAGGGTTAAGAGTTGGACAGGGTGGGACAGGTTGTTGCAGGAGAGGAAAGTGGCTTACCGGCATGTGAACCTGGCATATTCTAAGAATGGGCAGGGGTTCTGTGAGCCACATCATGAATAACTAACTGTGCTGAGGACTTGGTTTTATTCATCAACTGATAGAGACTTGCGGAAGGGTTTTTTGAATGGCAGAGTGTCACGATCAGATTAATAGGAAGAATGGGTTGACGCAGGGCAGTCCGGAACATGCCAGAGAGCAAGTTAGAAGGGACTCTCATAATCTAGAAAAGGAGTGGGGAAGCTCTAATTGAACCAGTGATTTTTAGTTTGTTTTTCTTTTCATCCTCACCCGAGGATATTTTTCCCATTGATTTTTAGAGAGAGTGGAAGCGGGGGGAAGAGACACCAAGAGAGAAATATCTATGTGAGACAGACACATCAATTGGTTGCCTCCTGCACATGCCCCAACTGCGGCCAGGGATCGATCCTGCAACCGAGGTATGTGTCCTTGACCGGAGTAGAGCCCAAGACCCTTCAGTCCTCCAGCCAATGCTCTAACCACCGAGAAACCCGGCGAGGGCTGAACCAGTGATTTGTATAGCTAATCCAAAATTTTAAAATGTGTTTTTTTGCTTTAAAACTCAACACATTCTGAAATTTTGGTTTAGCAATAAGATTCATGAAACTTAAATACAATATAAGTTTCAGAAAGTTTTATGAAGTGTCAGGTATTAACTTCTTTGGGTAATTTTGACTTTAAATTCTTCAGCTGTTGGCTCAGTACAGAGTAACTTATGTGCTGACCTACAACAGTGGTTTTCTGCTATTTGGTGTATGTTCTCAGCATGGAAGTAATTACAGCTACTTGAAAATACTGTGTTCTGCCTTACCCCATGGTCCCAAAGCTGCCTTTTCTGCAGAGCATTTGTATTGTAAAGAAATTTTTACCATTTCACTTACAATCTCACCAAGGCAGTAGGTTTCTAGAAAGCCCTGAAAATACTCTAGATAAGCAGAATTTCAGGAATCTGAAAGCAGGAACTAGGAGACTGAAATTAAATTCTTGTTGTAGGTATAGGTAGATTTTAGGTATGTCATACAAAATTGATTGTAGTTAGACAATACACTTATATCATCAAGGTCAGTATTCTTTTTAAAATTATGCCCCAAATCTTTAAAATATGCTCTTTTTACATGTGTTTTGCCGAGCTCTTTTTTTTTATTTCAGCTTAAGTAGACCAGTATCAATTGAAATTTAATTTTTTAAATAAAACTGAATTATAAACAACCATGGCAAAAGATAAGGCTAGTAAAATAGAAAAAAAAGATATAAGAATCCATTTACTGTAAAAATAACTATTTAGTCATTCTTACTTTATAGATATGCATATGAATATAGGTCACAATTCTGTATTGTACATTATTATTTTATTTTCTACTTTTGTCTCTGTTTTTTCCTGTAGGATTTCCTTATGTTAAACACACAGTTCTTATCTTTATCTTGTTTACATGCGTGCTTTTCTTACTGACTTTTAAAAGGGTTCAGAGCATAGCTGTATCTTATTAGCCCATTTATTCCTGCATAGAGTCTGAGACCCAGTGACAGTTTAATCCCTTATATTTTCCAGGTGTTCATGATCTTACTAACTTTTCTTTGTTTTTTTGATCACTACCATTTGTTCCCTGACTCCGCATAATTGAACTGGGTTTTATGGATGGAAAAGCTAAGGAGCATAAATTGCGTCCTCTCTTTCCATCCCTCTGGGTTGTGTGGCCTTTATCTGATCTGAGCTGTTGCCACCTCCTCACCTCCTCCTCTCCATCCCCTCTCCACCAAGCCCCAGGATCCCGTGATTCTCCACGTTCTGTCACTCCCCTGCTTTAGGCTTGTTCCTGCCTGACTGCTAGTAGGACAAAGGTCACATTCTGTCCCAGGTCAGGCAGGTTCTTCATAGTCTGGCATCCACTAACCTCTGGTCTCAATCTCCTCTCTAGCCTGTCACGAGTCCCTGTGCTCCAGTTTCATATTAAAAACAAACAAACAAAACATGGTTTTCCGAAAATGCCATATTCTGTATTACCCCCTGCCTGTGTACCTCCTCTGTGGGCACTTTACTGAGCAGACAGTTGTTCCTTGAATCCTCAGTGGTCCAAATCATTTTGTTCATTCAGCAGTTATAACTTGTACCAAACTGTATTATTAGTTTGTGTATCAGACCAAGTTTTACAAAGGCCCTGACCTACTTGTCCTTACACCCTCCAGGCCAAGCACAATTCCCAGCATATCAATTCCCAGATACTCTCGAAACTGACTATATTCCCTAATTTGTCTAGGGTTATGAAAGCATGAAAACAAGATAACATATCAACTTAGAGATACAAATGTTTAGACCTAAAATGCATATGTGCCTAATAGTCACATTAGTTTATTATGCCATTTGAAAGGGCATCTGTGAAAGTATTCCAAGCAAGACAATTAAAATGGACTATTCTGGAAAATCAGATTCTTAGGGAGCCATCTGGGGCACATCTGGGGCTAGGTAAATCTGCATCTAGTTTGAGTAGTCCCCTGATTCACTAGGTGACCCGACGTGTTTATAAAAACTTGCTGAGTAAAAATTATTTCAAATAACACTTGGTATAGGCGTTCAAAAAAAATCAGGCTATGAAGAACCTTAATATAAATAAAAGCAGAGTTCTAGTTCTTTCCAAGATTATGATAGTTGTACATTGGTGCTCATTCCTGTGATGCTGATTGTCAACATAAGAAAATATAACGCACAATGGACTCACAAAAATTTCTGAAGCCTGGATGAGCGTTTTTTTATTTCAATTACAGTTGACATACAATATCATTATTTTCAGGTGTACAACATTTTGATTAGACATTTATATACCTTACAAGGTGATCCCCCAGTAAGTCTAGTAGCCCTCTGACACCACACATAGTTATTACAATAGTACTGACTATATTCCCTGTGCTGTACTTTACATTCCCATGACTGTTTTTATAACTGGCAACTTGTACATCTTAATTCCTTCACCTTTTCTGGATGAGCATTTTTGAGTGTGTTTTTCAAGTGTAGAGATTCAAATGAACATATTCTTAGTATAACAATTTGTATATGAATCTTTTGAGCAGTGCACATAAAGAACCTTTCAGTGTTCGCTTTAAACACAGAAACTGTCTTATTTTAGTAATTATTTTTATTTCAAAAGAAACTGTGGTTTTTATTTTTCAGTGTTGAAAATGAGCCCATGAGTACAAGTCAGAAAAAGGAAAATGTACTTTCATCAGAAGCAGTAAAGGTATAGTTTTAAATACATGTTTTATATCAAGCAAATATTTTTCTTAATTTCTGCTCATTCTTATTTTTTAGATTCTGTCATCTCATTTTATATTCCCAAAAGAGCACTTTATGTGGAAATCCAGCCCAGCTCTGCCAGACATTTGCATCTGGGGGTGGGGTAAAGGTGGGGGGAGAAGGGCACCGAAGGAGTTGAAAGAGTGGGGGGTTCTTATCTCAGCTTGGCCACTAACTGGCTGTGTAGCCTTCACCTGAGATGGTTAACTTCTTTGTGTCTTAGTTTTCTAATCTGTAAATTGGGTCACAGCCTCTTTCTCTAGGAAGATCTTTCATTTATGTTGTGTTTTCTCAAATGCTGCTGACAACTAAAGGTGCTTTTGAGGGTAGAAGTTAACAACATGTTCTCACATGGCATTAGTATGTAATGATATATTTGGTCAGCTCACATATGAACTGGCTTTCTTAGCTTCTGAAGTGTATAAGCTATACACCTCCCTAGATAGTTATGGACAAGTGTGGTTAAAAACAACTTGAAAATCACTAAACCTTGTAACATTTCCTTTCGCTCATGCGGATTTTCTATAAATTAGATGTTGTTTTTGTTTGGTGATGTGAGGCCAGGTATGTGGTCACAGTTTGGTAGCCGTCCAACATTCGTAGAGTTTGATGCCAGTTACTTTCTTTATATCTGATTTGTGACAGTCGGTCAAGGAGAAAGTGTGTGCTTTCCAGGGATCTTAGGGTAGCTTAGCTTGGTCAGTGGGAGGACCAGAAAGTCATCTGAATTCTTCATTACTGTGGGCACTTTTAAACATTATGTAAGGTCCAAATGCAATAGATATGGTCAAGATAAAGCTGTTTTTGTTCTTTAGTCCTGCCTTCCCCATCATTGTAAACAATATCAATATTATTTGAAAGAAAAAAATCATTATCTGGGTTTTGTTTTAGAAATTTAATGAAAGAATAAATCAGGATCACCTTGCTTCCCTTATCTTTCTTCATTGCTTTGTGAGTTTAGCTACAATATCCTGCCCCCAGGTTTTATAACATCCCCCCCCTCCCCTTTGCAGTCAGTTGTTAGCCAACCTGCTGCTTTATCACTGCACAGACTCTATAGCGTTCTTCCTCTCCTTTTTCAAAATGCTCACTTCCAATTCAAAATTCTCACTTCTAATGCTATACAGGCAGCCTTGCCCTCGAATGGCTTCACAGGAGGTGTTACTTGTGAGATCTCAAACTTCGAAGTTTCTTTGGCTGCCAGCTCTTGTCATTCCATCTTTTAATCCCTCATGGCCTCGGCCCCCACCCTTGACTTTCACCAAACCTTCCTGTTCTTGTTCCCTTCTCCCCTCTTGGTGTCTTCTTGTTTCTCTACTCAGCCTGTAACCTAGAGTGTACTACTTCAGCTCTAATCTCACTGTGAAAAACCAGTCTCCAAACTTGGCCTTCAGATGTTAATTTCCAGTAGTGCTACTTTTCACCTGCAGAGATTGCATCTAGAAAGCCACATCTTTGTGGATTCAGTAAATATACATGGTGGGCGGATATAGTGGCAAAGCCTCCATGATTACAATCTTTTCTATCCCTTCTTGTTTTGAGGGCCCAGGACAGTTCAGTTTGGGATCTGGGCCCCCAAGTAAATATGACTCATAGTCATGAGACTGTTTCTCTTTATGATTTGAGGCCCATAGGGTTACTTATACCTGGGCAGTCCAGCTAGCCTGTAATAGAACAGGCGCCATGGAACTCTCACAGGGGTAGCCTGAGCATTTGGCCTATGCATCGTCTTTGGACATCATTACATTTTTAGTTCTTAAAATATCACTTATATGCTATACAGTTGTGCACCACTTAATGGCAGATACATTCTGAAAAATGCATCATTAGGCGATTTTGTCATTGTACGAACATCACAGAGTGCACTTACCCAAACCTGGATGGTAGCCTACTGCACACCTAGGCTAAACGGCATAGCCTATTGCTCCTAGGCTACAAACTTGCACAGCATGTTACTGTACAAAACATAAGATGAAATCAACTCAGTCCAAGATGATGTAATCAGGGTATGTAAACACCACATGAGATTGCTGCCAGCATAACATGACATACTCTTTTTTTTAAAATATTGATTTTAGAGTGAGAGGAAGGGAGAGAGAGAGATAGAAACACTGATTTGTTGTCCACTTATTTGTGCATTTGTTGGTTGTTTCTTGTAAGTGCCCTGACCGGAGATTGAATCCGCATCCTGTCATACCAGGACAGTGCCATGACACACTTTTACAGCAACCTTTTTTTTAAATAAGAAGAATGAATGCACTCTAAAACAACAATAAAAAGTATAGTAAATACATAAGCCAGTAGCATAGTCATTTATTATCATCAAGTATTATGTACTGTACATAATTGTATGTGCTGTACTTTTATACAACTGGCAACGCTTATAGCAGCATCACCACAAACATGAGTAATACATTGCCCTACAGTGAGTGCTACAATGCCAGGTGATAGGAATTTTCAGCTCTATTATAATTTTACAGCACCACTGTAGTATATGCAGTCCATTGTTGACTACAATGCCGTTACTCAGTGCATGACTATACACATTTTGCTGTTTTGCTAACATTAGAGCTATTTGTTACACTTGCATCTGCTATTCCACTGTAATATGAATTTTTTTATATTAATCAGGTTGTTATATCTAGCTGGCAAAACTTACAGGTAGTCCACATTCTACCTTTATTTCTCTGTGGGTTCTACAATCTTCTATTGCAGCTTTAGACTCTTGCTGCTTTCATGTCTACTGTTATTTAAAAGAGGGACAGGTTTCAAAGCCCTGCTCCCTTCTATCTACATCAGAGGAATAGTCATCCCTTCCTCCCTTCTAAGGCTGAACTCCCTAAAGACCCCACCAGTAGTATTGTTCACATAATTCCTGCCTTCTCTTGGGCCTTGTCTTGACTGCATCCGTCCCTCCATCTTCACTGGCTTCTTCTATTTCTCTCTAAATATATAAAACACAATTGTTTTGTGTTTGTTTTATTGTTTTTTTCATTTTAGGGGTCTGGGTTTCTTTCAGTCTATTTTTTTCTTCACTCCTACCTGTTACCCAAACATTTCTTATGCAAGTCGATCTTAATCACTGTTTAATTCTTTTTTCTCTCTGCCCTCTCCTCCCTCCCTCACGGTTTAATTCTAAATGCTTTCTCTTTTTTTAATCTTTTATGGTGCTTTTTAAATTTTATTTTGTTGTTGCCAGTATCACAGAAGTCTCCCATTTTCTATTTTTTTGCCCCTTCCACCCAACCCTTGCCCTACCCCAGGCCTTCCCCATGCTGTTGTCTGTGTCCATGGGTTATGCATATATGCACATATGTTCTTTGGTTAATCTCTTCCCGTGCCCTCTCCTACCAAACCCCTTCCTCACTGAGATCTCTTATTCTGTTCCATACATCCATACCTCTGGACTTATTTTGTTGATTAGTTTATTTTATTCTTTTTTGAAAATATATTTTATTGATTTTTTACAGAGAGGAAGGGAAAGGGATAGAGAGTTAGAAACATCGATGAAGTGCCTCCTGCGCACCCCCTACTGGGGATGTGCCCGCAACCAAGGTACATGCCTTTGACTGGAATCAAACCTGGACCATTCAGTCTGCAGGCCGATGCTCTATCCACTGAGCCAAACTGGGTAGGGCAAG